CCCCCTCTGCTGCATCCATTGTCCTGGCCTGGCCTGGAATGAAAATAAGGAGGAAAACGTGCTGTAATGATGTCTGAAACAGAACCGTGGCTCCATGGAGGAACCATGTGCGGTGTCATGGGCAGTGTGGTCCAAGGATGATGTTTGAGGTCTGAGTGACTTCAGTGGGGTCAGAGGTGCAGCGGGATCAGAGCTGCTACAATCCTCTCCCCATTTCTGCTAGCGGGGCTTCTTTTCACACTTCCCAAAGGAGGGTCAGGCCCTTCACACCACGCACCTCTTCTCTCCTAGGAGGAGATCTTCCAAGGGCCAGCCGTGGCCCTTTTGAGGTGCTTTTCCGGTGTCATTAGACTAGCAGTGAATGGACAGAGCAGAGGAGTAGGCATTACCAGAGGGAGAAAAGGGGCAGAGTCACTTGCACTACTCAGAGTGCCCGTACCTTGTAGCTGCAGAAGGCAGAAAATGCAGTCGGCGGCCCACAGGCGGGATGCAGCAAGAGAGGTGCAAGTGTATGGTGCCAGCAGCCCCAGCAGGGACCCAAACTGCTCCAAAGGCTCTTGTAGCTGAGGAAAAAGGAAAAAGAAATGAATGACACGTGCCTGTGTCTGTGATATTCAGATGTATGATCCTCGGAAGGTGAAAACGGGAATGCATCCCTGTGGGGCCCTGTCTGCTAGGGGAGCTTTCTACATCTCAGGGTGAGGCTGCCATGAGGACATCAAGGCAAGAGTTAGACCATACTTACTCTGCAATAGACTGTCTCCTGATAGGCAACAAGGAGCTGGGAGCTGGCCTGCAAGGCCCTCTCTCTCTCCCACTCCTTGTCAGAGAAGATCCACGGCTCAAGCAGCTGTTGGGAGAGCAAACTACTGTCAGAGGAACCTTTACAACATCTCAGAGGAACCATTTCAACAGCAGACATCACCATCACCACTGAAATCCCTCCAAGCAAGCTGGTTCTTTTATCAGCTGGATACACCCCAGGCAGACTTTAATTCCCCTGAAGCCAGAGGAGCTGCTGAGTGACCATGGCACAAGAAGATGCAGCTACTAGGGATGTCAACGGGATGCAAGGGAATTACTATGCATTGCCTCAAGGACACCTTGGGAGACTCCCCTCTCATTTGCCCTGCCGAGGGAAACCTTCCTCCCTGTTTTTTGCCCCGCTTCCCCTTCCCCAGGAAGAGAGCTCTGCCTGCTCCTGCTGGCTACTCACATGGAACATTTCCATGAACCAATTCTCAGTGGGGTCTTCTTCAAGGAGGCCCCTCATGAGCTCGCCCAAGGCCTGCATGGACAACTCGTGCAGTGCCTGCAAGCAGGAGACAGAAGAGGGAAGCTCAGGGCCAGCGGGAGCATGCGTCACAAAACCCAGAACCATTCTAGGGAGGCCAGGGGTGACTGCCAGGACCCAGAGCAGGCTGGGGAGCAGGTCCCAGCAGGTGATGCTGCCTAGGTGTACCTGTACTTGGACAGAGTCCTGAGAGGTCTCACCCTCTTCCCTCAGCTGCTGAACAGCTGGAAGAGGCAGCAGGCATTTTAAGCAGTCATCCAGGATGTTTCTGTTTTCATCCCGATTTAGCGAGGGTTTCACCTTGCTGGCAGAAGAAAGAGAGGACGAAAAGCCCTGTCACACTGCCTGCCAGCCCCCAGGGAAAGTGGGTGCTAAGATATGATCTGAACCTAGAACCCGAAATCCAAACCCCGCTGGACCTGGCAGCTGAGAAGCTCCTGGCACTCCCCCCAACCACTGCTAGCTGTCCCACAACCACCACCACCACCAAGTCTTTCAAGTCCAAATCTCCAAGTGGACCAAACACATTCACACCCTCTGACCCCAGCTGCAGTGAGAGCAGCCTGTGACCTGAGCCCTGCAGGTGTCTCTCAGCTCCAGATCTGATGGGAAGAACAGCAGAGGATTAAGGAAGGAGCTCAGCTCTGACCAGGGCATCCCAGTGCCAAGGGCCAGGGCAGGAATCACCTACCTCAGGTGCTTAATGGCAAGCATGGCCCTGAGGCGAACAGGAGAGGCCAAGGAATCCATTGGTTCCTCTTTCATGAAGTCCTAAAAGGCAGAAACGGAGACACGACACAGGGGACATGGATGTGGGAAGCAGAGAGCTTCCCCCCACAAACCCACCAGGCTGCCCTCCCAGGTGAGCCGTAAACAGAGCCAGGGCTGTGCTGGCTACCGCCCCAGGATCCTGCTCAGGTCGACGGCATCGGTGCAGAGGGCACCGAGCTGTACTCCAGTCACTTGCCAGACACAGCCGGGCCCTCCAAGAGCAGCCCGCAATGCAGCATTGCCTACAAAGCTTCGAGGGGCACCAGCTTACTGGGCCCCAAGCAGACCCCTCATGAGGCTCCAAGAATCCCATCATAGCCAGGGCATGAAACAGCTGCTCCCAGGGAAACCCGTCCCATTAGGTTCCCACGAGGGCCTTTGCAGTTGGGCCCCCAGGGCTCCTCCCACTCACCAGCAAGTACCCCAGGAGCTCCTCTTTGTAAGCAAACTGGAAGCTCTGGGAGTCGTCTGCGTCCTGGATGGCACGGCTGATCTCAGTGACCGACCGGATGAGGGTCAGCTTTAAGTCCGGGTCCTGAATTTCATGGGGGAACAACAAGGAGATGGGGATGAGGAATGGCCAAGATCCCCAGGCCCATGCCCATCTCATATGAGAAGCACGGCAGCAGCAGCAGGGACTCCCGCCTGGGGAAGGTCATTGTGCCTCCTGCAGGTAGGGTCTGGGAAGAGCACAGGCAGAGCTGGGGTCACTGAACATTTACCTTATTGACAAAGTTGATGCCAAGCACCTGGGAAGTGAAATGCAAAACAACCGTCAATGCCTGGACGGCTCCAGACTACAGCTCCCTGCCAGGTCCAAAACAGGGCTGGGCCGGGGAGTGTTGAGCAGTGCAAGGGCATGAATGCGTGCCCCGCTCCAGCGCAGGACAGGATGTCAGGAGCGTCTATCCCAGCACGCTCCATGCGTGGGTCCCTCCCACTGCACATCATCCCAGAAGGATTAACATGGATGCTCATCACAGGCGTGAGTTCAGGGGGAGGATCAGACAGTCAGAGCCTCTCTAGGCACCCAAGTGCAAAGGAGACATCAGTCCCATGGCAGGCCTCTTCCCGACATGGTGCAGTGCCAGGCTCTTACCTGGCAGCTGGTCATGTAATACTGCAGGACCTTCCTGGTGATATCATGCTCCACGCGGGGGAGCAGCTGTGTTCGGGGGGCATGGACAGCAATTCGGCTGTAGGCCAGTATCAAGGCCCTGTGGGTCCTGGCTCTTTTCCCTTGGTGATAGTCCTGCACAGGGTGACACGACACTCACACCCATGCCTTCTGCCCCCCAAGTAGGAGTCACTGCTGACCAAGGAGTTGCCCAGCAGCAATACCGGCTCTCCCTGCCAGTCACAGGAGACCCACAGCTCTGACAGCACCATCATCAGTGCTTTGTTTCAGATGCCCCATCTTCTCTGTCCTGCAGCCTGGGTGACTCGGGCAGAGAGAGCTGCAGTGCCGCTCTGAGCCATGGAAGTCGGGGCAGGGGCGGGGGAGAGTTTGTGACCCACAGGAACTGGGGCAGCAGATGCATTGTGCCAGGGCCGCCTCATGTATTTGGCAGTAAGGAGTCCCTGGGCACAATGCATCAGGAAGGCTGCGGCAGGTCTGTCCGTGTGAAGGAGGCGGCTCTGCCTGTTGTGCTTTGCGCAGAAGCTGAAGCTGAAGCTCTCGGCAGGTGTTTGGGGCACCGTGAACACCCTGCTGGATGCGGCCTGGACCTAAACACCTGTGAGCGCTGAGGTGCTCAGCTCAGCCATGGTGGTGGCTCCGCTGGGCTGGGTGAGCCCTAGAGGAGAACCTTAGGGCCCATTTTACAGCATTTGGGGCATGTGGATCATGCACTCGGAGCTGGTACTTTGAGGCTGGGCAACAGGGCTCATGTCTCCTCTCCCATGGCTGACTGAAAGATGTGAGAAAGACACAATCTCTTTCTCTGGGTGAACATCAGATGTAGTTGCCTCAGTGCCTGAAAGGGGCTGGTTAACTGTTGACCCATTAACCTGGGACATGAAAAACGTGAGTAGTAGAAACTGTGTTCCCCTCTGTATCACTGGAGACCTGATGTGGAGCATGTTCCCCGGGAGAGGGCATTACCAGGGAGAGGAGCCACTGCCAAGCTGTTCTTCTCAAGGGTTTCTAGGGGAAGGAAGTGTGAGAAACCCCCCAGCTCCATTACCTGCAGGCGGCCGACTATCCCAGACACCTGCACTTTACTCAGAGCCGCACCAAAGTCCTCCAGCGTGCCCAGGGCGAGGTCCAGGTGGCCCTCGGCTGAGAATGCCAGGATGGTCACAACGTGCTGGAACCCAAGAAACGCACTGGTGAGCGAGCAGGACTGTCTGGCTGACAGACCCGAGAGTCCTCCCCATCTCCCCGATACTAGACCTGCCCGCCCGGCCTGCAACACGGCAGGGGGCTGTCTGAGGGAAAGGACAAGGGAAGGCCACGAAGCAAACAAACCCGAGACACAAAGCAACAGAGAAGTGAGGACACGGGAGGACCTGATATGTCTGGAGAGAACAGGGTCCTCACCTCTCTCTCAGCAGCGTTCATGTAATCTGTGCCCTTCAGAGATTTCTGGAGCTGGGATTTCACATGGGCAACATCCTGGCAAGAGGCCAAGGTGGTACCAAGTGCCTTATATAGGAAACTCTGAAAGAAGGAGACCACCATCACCAAAGAGCTGGGAACACAGCAGCCTGCTGGTCAGGACAAGAACTGCCCAGAAACACACCCATCCCTAGGAAGGGCCAAGAGAGTCCAGCCCCAGCACCCACACACCAAATACCTGGCCCCACTCTGCAGGGAAATGGCAGCTAAAGACAGAGAAAGAGCCCCGGTAAGCACTCCCTTTGGGTCAGTGAAGAGAGCACATGACCAAGGACAATGCTTTTGATCAAAAAAATAGAACGGAAAAGCGCAAACTGTGGAGAGAAACTCTCTGCAGCATCCTGCCACAGCACCACCAAACAGCTGCAGAAACCCAGCCGTTGCCAAGAGCACGCACCTTCTCCGGGGAGGAGCAGGCATAACTGGCTGTCTGGTGCTGCAGCTCCAGGCTCAGCCGGCTGCTCCAGGCATCGTCATCAATGCTCTTCAGTGTCACGTTCAGGAACTGAGGGCACAAGCGAAGGGAAAGAAAGGGTTGGGTGCATGGGCTGAGTCTCTGTCGTCCTCCTTTGCTGTGCCCTTCCTAGCGCCCGAGTCTCACAGGGAGACTTGGGAGCCTTTGGAGAGTGCTACAGGTGGACACCCTAGGATCTTCCTGCTTCTTGCTCTCCCCATCTCATCTCTGCCCAAGGATCCCTCACAACCTTGACACCAGTGGACAGAAATGTGGAAGAGATTGTGCCAAGAAAGCTGTCCACTGGGGAGAGATTGTGTAGAGGGGGGAGACTGGATCACGTCAAAAAGGCGCTGTGGGCTCTACAACAGGCACCTCCAACTGCCAGGGACTTCAGTGCTTTGTTGTGTTGAGCTTGCATTGTGATAGGACCTGGGAACTGCAGAAGCCCCCAACCAAGGCCACATCTCCTTCCATTTCTTGAGCTCAAAGACTGTACGGAAAGGCTGGAGGATCCCAAATGGACAACTCTAGATGCCAATCCAAACTCAAGGACACTGGCAAACCTTCCAAGTTGGACTCTTGCTGGGTTATTGACTTTCATCACCTCATTTCCCTGAGGCATGAGGGAACCCTCCCTTCTCAGACAGCCCTGGCTGGCTGCAACAGCAGCTCTGAGAGCCATCCTGTACCTTCAGCAGCAGGTGCTCCCACCACACATTGTCCTGGGAGGTCTCAGGATTTCCTGAAGGGGGGAGGCAAACAAGAAGGGTGTCACTGCCATAGGCACTGAAGAAGAGTCTTAGTTGCCTCCCTGGGCATCAAGTCTTTAGCAACTCCTGCATCCGCACCCAGGCACCTCCTGGGATCCCAAGGTCACAGGCCCTGCGCTCTAGTATATACCCTGCTGGCATGTCTGAAAGTTGTGCATGACCAGTCCCTGCAGAAATGGCCATAAGGGGCATGGAGGGTGCTCAGCACCTCACGGATGTGCTCAGCACAGCACAGTACAGGACTGGGCTTCGTAGAAAGGCAACGTGCACAGAGGTTTCCTCTGGCAACAGAAACCTCCCAAGAGTTCAGAGAACTGCAGGAGAGTGGTTAATCTGATGGAGCGCTTCATGGGCAAACCCTACCCTGGGTCCCATCACCCTCCATGTTGTCAAGCCCCTGGATTCGCCCCCCCCTGGCAAAGAGTAGAAGCTCTCAAGCATGCGATGCTGCAGAGGGGACCGGTGCCACGGGGGGCTCCAGGAGGCTGCAACCTCCCCTCCCCTCTCCCTTTCCATTCTGCAGAGATACTGTGCTCCTTCCTTGCTTGTTACCTTCAATAGTCGAGAGCAGGATGGGAATCTGGACCCTCCACTGCTCTCCAACAGCAGGGTGGATCGTGCGGTGCAGAGCCCACAGTGCCCGCAGGGCAGAATGTGCGCGGCTGCTGTCACCCAGGGCTGAGGCAACCACCTGACAGCACGAGAGAAACAGGGGCTCAGCTCTGGAGTGGGACTCCATGGCTTTCTCTAGGAGGGAAACTGGCCTCCACCATACGTGGCCAGAGCATTCAGCAATCAGACACAGGCTGAAGTGCTGTGCTAGGCTGATCCTGCATGCCCCTCCGCAGGCTGCGAGGCAGGGGCAGAGCCTGGCTCTGCTCTGCAAAGGGAAGGGA